TGGATTAGATGATCTCTAAGGTCCCTTCCAGCCTAGGCCAGTCTAGGATTCTATGATTCTATGATTCTCTTCTCCCTTTCCCTTGAACAGCCTCCCTCCTTGTACTACCCAACACTTACTTTTCCAGTATGGACATAATAATTGGAGGTAGAACCAGTATAGGCATTGGCAGGACCACTCTCGTCAGGGCCGTTTCTAGCAGTGCCTGAAAAGGAAAAACAAACAAACAAACACACACAAGACACTTAAATCTCAGGACGTACTGCACTGAGCAATCAGCGGGTGGGCACAGAACTGGTTTGGTTGGCCTTTCTTCTGTTGAACAAATGTATCCACACACACTTTCAAGGCCACTCTCAGCTATTTATGCACAACCTCTCCAGGCTCCCTTGCTACAAACGATGGGTTGGAGTCCCTGCTTGGTCACAGATTGAGTGGAATAAAGAGAGACACTTAATAGCTTCCTTGATGTGGCCAAAAAGGGCTCCACCATCTCGTCATAGTCCTACACAACCATGTTAGTGCTGCCTGGGGGAAGAAAGAGAGACCAAAAGCTTTCTGGAAGACATTGTAAGGTGAAATATCTCAACACGTGCTGAGCAGCAGTTTTAACCTTTCCTCCCTCAACTGACTTGGAATTTCAGTTACTTGCACCTTAGTGCCTGCTCCAAGACTTGCTTCTGGGTTTTATTCACCGGTGGTTGCAAAACATCGTAACACACAGGGCTCCCCTCTCCCAGGCAGACACCCAACTGCAGGGCTACGGTTGTCCCTCCCCTGGTGCCTTCTCCCTGGTGAACAAAACAGCACCAGACGTATCAATTACCCTGAGGTGAGACCTAGAGATGCTCAAGCAAGGTGTAAAACCCCCTTTACTAGCACCCATCTGGGAAGCTCCAAGCACCGCGTCCAGGCACGGGGCTTTGGCAGGCGAAGGCAGAGGGTACTGCAGATTTTGGATGAAAATGCTGAAACTTATGCATGTGGTTAGACCTTCCAAACGGGAGAAGGTCTCAGAGAGGTGCAGATGCGTTACACTAAGGATCTGCCAAATTTTCCATGACAAAACCCAGTACTAAGCTATCCGGGAAGAAGCGTTGGCATGAGGTGGCAGCCGAGCAGAAGTTCTCAGAAAGTCCAAAATTTGTTTAAACTCCACTTAAATCACACCCTCAGTACCTTCACTCGTAATATTTATTTTCTATGTTGTCTCTCTTCCTCTCGACCATTAGGATTAGGAGGGGAAGCTGGGTCCTGAAGCCAGTTAATGTAAGTGAGGCAAACTGGCTCAAACAAGTATCTCCGAGCCCTTCAACAGATTGTTTTAATCTCCCTGCTAAACAACAATATGGAGAGATATTAGAGATCTCCCATTTCTTGCCGAGGACTGTAAATCTGTACATTAATTGCTGTCTGTGAAGTGCCTTAAGAGCCTTGGACAGAAGGAGCGAGAGAAATGCCAAGCATTATATTATTAACTCCTCTGCCTGGGCGTGTGCTTTGGTACATGCTTTACATTTCAGATTAAAGCCCACTTGGAAACAACACGCCTCAGACAATCAGATGATGCTCAGAAGACAAAACTATGTAAGAAGGGGAGGAAAAGGAATAATTGGAGGCAGATGGCAAGAGAGTAGGAGGTTACAGGGGAGAAAAAAACAAACCAGGTGTTAGGATGAGGATAAAAAACATCTGGCTACCCTCGCAAAGCTTCGGCTGGCAATCGATAACGCGGCTCTGACGTGGCAAGGGTTAAAAAGCCGCTCGGCTCGAAAATGAAGTCTTCCTCATTTAGAAAAAGGTGTAAGCTTCTCTTTGCTTCGTGCTCAACACGAACTGCTTACGAGTTGCCATAAAGAAATCCCGAGACTGTGAAGGCATCAGGGTAGGTCCTGATGTCAGGCTGCGCCCTTCCAAACCAGCGAGGTCGTCCCCGCTTCGTGGCTGCACAGCTGCCCGTGCGGATTCAACGAAAATGTTAAGTTTCGCTGCTTTCGTTCTTCCTGCTCATCTATTTCCAGCCCTTTCAAGCCATCGATTCCTACGGCCGTGAGACTCGTTGAGGCTGAAGGGTGGCTGTGGACAAGCTCACCCGGGAACGTCACCGGTACGTACGTGTTTTGCAGCGATTCTGGAAGACCCGACGATGTTTCCGTTGTTGTCCAAAACATCAATTCCTTCTTCCAGCTCTGTGTGCCTCATCAGGACAACATTGCAGATATTGGCACTAGCTGAGGATGAGAAAAGCACGATGATTAGCAACGCGGCCCGGGTCAATACCGAACGGCAGGCTTGCCGTGACAGCCCTTCAGCTTCGCGCACGTCAATCTGCCAAGAACTTTCTGCAAGTCAAGGAGCTGCTCTTACACCAAGAAAAAGATGTGCTTCTTAACAGGAGGATAATAATCCCTTGCAAAGGGATCTGCTGCCACAAACAGAAAGGTTTCGCTGCAACGCAAGAGCAGCATCTCCAGGTGTTGGGGGTCACGCATGCTCCCACCCTCCATAGGGATCCTTCACCCAACGTTTCGATCTACTAAGTCAAAATAGCTCCTTACATTGGGCTGCCAGTTGGTCTTGGCCAGCCAGGCACTGCTGATTGGCAGCTGCCTCTTCCGACAGGACACCCCAGAGACGGTCCGATTTACCCTTAGTGGAGCCAGCAGACAAACTCTTCTTAAAAAACGGATTTTAGCAGGTGTGATGGAAATACGCTGCGAGGGATTTCGCTGAGCTATGAAGGACAGCTTAGATCTGAGCTCTTAAGAGGGACGAATTAATTTTTTTTTGGTCAGTTAAGACAAGGTTGGGCTGCTTCCATAGACATAAATCCCATTAGCAAGGGTCCTGCTGACAATTTGCCCTTTTTTTCACATTTTAGGGAGAAAACGGCTCTGGGTGCTTATTTTCCAGAGTTAGAGATGTGTTTCTTTGATTTAATGACATTTTTCTGAACTCTGACACAATAGCAGCAATTTGGGAGCAGGCCTGGGACCCTTTCCGACACAAACTCCCTCCCCTTGCTCAACCTGTGGTTTTTGCAGCCTTCTTGAGATCATAGAAACACAAAATCATGGAACTGTTTAGTTTAGAAAGTACCTTTAAGATCATCAAGTCCAACCATTAACCCAGCACTGCCAGGTCCACTGCTAAACCATTCCCCTGAGAACCTCATCTGTATGTCTTTAAAATACCTTATAGTGTCCTTAAAGGGGGACACAGGAGAGATGGGGAGGGACTCATGGTCAGGGAGGGCAGGGATAAGTCAAGGGGTAACGGTTTCAAACTGGACGAGGGGAGGTTTAGGTTAGATATTAGGAAGAAAATCTTCCCTGTGAGGGTGGTGAGACCCTGGCCCAGGTTGCCCAGAGCAGCTGTGGCAGCCCCTCCCTGGCAGTGCCCAAGGCCAGGTTGGACGGGGCTTGGAGCAACCTGGGCTGGTGGGAGGGGGCCCTGCCCAGGGCAGGGGGGTGGAACTGGATGATCTTTAAGGTCCTTTCCAATCCAAACCATCCTGTGATTCTGTGGTGACTCCACCACAAGCCTGTGCCAAGGCTTGACAACCCTTCTGGGGAAGAAATTTTTCCTAATATCCAACCTAAACCTGCCCTGGTGCAACCTGAGGGCATTTCCTCTTGTCCTGTCACTTGTTACTGGGGAGAAGAGACCAACCCCTCCTCGCTGAACCCTCCTGTCAGGGAGCTGCAGAGAGCGCTGAGGTCTCCCCTTCGCCTCCTCTGCTCCAGGCCACTCCGGGTTTCAGGCTCCCCAGCACACTTGTCCTCCAGCCCCTTCCCCAGCTCCATTGTCCTGCTCTGGAGCCTCTCCAGCCCCTCAGTGTCCTTCTTGTAGTGAGGGGCCCAAAACTGAACACAGGTGACTCCAAATTCTGCTCCTCAAGTGACATTAAGAGTTGGGGTAGAGAAAAGCCCTTCCCAGGTACAGCTCCTCTCCGGGGCTCAGGCACTTTTTAGGTTTTTTCCAAAGAATCACAGAATCATGGAATTGTCAGGGTTGGAAGGGACCTTAAAGCTCATCTCGTTCCAACTCCCTGCCACGGGCAGGGACAACCCCCACTAGATCAGGCTGCCCAGAGCCCCATCCAGCCTGGCCTGAAAAACTCCCAGGGATGGGGCTGCCACCCCCTCTCTGGGCAACCTGTGCCGGTGTCTCACCAGAAATGCGAGTGTCTCATTAGAAACTCTATTAATTCCTACAAAAGTTTTGGTTTTAATAACTGGCATTTTCCAGCACACCCCCCCCATCACCACCACATTTTGTCGCAAACTTTTCAACCACAACTAATATAAACCCACTGTTGCCGCAAGTACCACGGCTTCCAAAAATGTGTTTCTGTACTGCTTGATGGGTTAATATTCGCTAATTAATCTCAATTCATGTCATATAACAAATGTCTAATTTTTTGAGGGTGGTGGGTGGGTGAGCCCTATACGAACGCAGCTCTCTGCAATCAAGGATGATTTGTGGTGACAAATGCTCCTTACACTCGAGAAGAAGAGGAACATACACACACGCACACTCTGTCTCTCTCTTTAATAGTCGAACTACTGGACCACTCTTCCCATCTATCAAAATATCGGCGTTACCAACCCTTCAGCTCCTTAATCCGAGATGAAAAAGAAAACAGGCATTTCATTTAAAGCAAGTTTGGCCTCTCTTTTTCTTTTTTTTTTTCTTCTCCTTTTTGAACACTCACATGCCCCGTCCTTCCAGCTATCAGTCAAGACCGAACGGATGAAAACATGTCAGCTCTGGCCAAGCCCGGATGCACCAGCACAAGGCTCTGGGGAGACTCATGATGGGGTGTCCAGACCTGAAGCTCCCATCACAGCTAAATCCTTCTCCAGGTGGCTGGATCTGATTAGGAACAGGTCTCAAATTCATCGATCGGGTCTCAAATTCAAAACCTGATTCCAGCCCGTTTGAGACAAGCAACTGCCTTGGTTGCTTCCGTTCTGCTTTCTGAGAAAGCAGAAAACGCTCCTGATTACGGGTAAGCTGGGATTTTACAGGCTTCTCAAATACAAGGGGGGATGAGAAATAAATAAATAGAGGTGCAGACAATTTGATTTTCAGAATTTGAAAAGAAATTGTGATAACATAGCTTGGAAACTACTGTGAACACACTTATTGGAAACCAGGTTCAGAGAGAAAAGCAACCCACTACCCTAGATGATGCTCCAAGGTGGCCAGCATGAAGCACAAACCCCTTTTGCATCCAGCCAGGTGCCGGCTATGCAGAGCCTTGGTCATTTCTACAAATTGTTCCACCTGGGTTGGTTCCTCAGATCCATCCCCTGGGGCTGGGGAGGACTTTTTGGCCAACTTGTGATCTTCCATCTACTACAGTTTACCCTTGGTGGAGGGTAAAGCTCCCACCTCCTCGCACCTTGCTCCAGCACCACCAGCCCCGGCGGCACACCAGCGACGGCGGCAAGCGGAGCCTGCACTGGCTACCTGGGTGCTTTCCTAACGTCCCACACTCTGTGATATCGTGACTGAGGTCTGGAGGTCTCTGCAGATACATCCCCATGCCCTGCCCTCATCTCGTGGTCCCGTGGTGAAAGTGGGATTTCACAGAGGAAGCACTTTCGTTAAACGTGCCCCACAGGCAGCATTTCTACAAACACCATTGAGTTTACTGGGCAAAGATAACTGTTATATGACACAGACAAGACAGACACAACATGCAGAGCATCTCTCCGGGCAGCAGAACCCACAGCCTGGCTTTCCCAGTGCCCACCCCAGCTTCCCCAGGCTTCACATGAGCCTTTACGAACATCCTTTCCAACCCAAACCATTCTGCAATTCTACGATTCTGTCTCTGCTTGGATTCTAGATGTTTTTTCCACCCAAGCTGCATTTCCCCAAGCCTCCATCTCTCATGATCCCTTGGGATGAGAGACCATAAAGCTTTGATGCCCACCTCCACCTTGCCAGCTGCTCTCAAGCAGCACAGCTCTGCCAAGGTCAGTGGGAAAAATATTTGATGGTAGTGGAGCAAGAGCTTTACACCACTGTCTGGTTTTCAGACTCATCGAATGGTTTGGGTTGGAAGGGACCTTAAAGATCATCCAGTTCCAACCCACTGCCCTGGGCAGGGCCCCCTCCCACCAGCCCAGGTTGCTCCAAGCCCCGTCCAACCTGGCCTTGGGAACTGCCAGGGAGGGGCTGCCACAACCTCTCTGTGCACCTTTTCCCACAGGAAAAGTGAAATTCTGCCCTTTTGCTGGAGGCTGGTGGTTTAAAAGCAACGGGAAGGCGCATCTTAATTAAACAGTTTGTCCAGGTCTGCAAACCAGTAATTTGCAGTTTTCAAAACCACAAAACAGCAATTAGTGGGAGGGCTCCTGATGTCCTGGCACATAACGAAGCATGACAGTACACAAATAAAATGAGAACTAGAGAACTAATTACGGGCTAAACAAATTAATTATGGGTCCTCAATCAATGCCGACACAAGCGCAACCTTTTTCTCCTTACACCTTGGCATGAAAATAGATTAACTCGTCAGCAAAGGCTTCCCAGGTACATCTCTGACTTGAACCCAGCCTCGGAGCTTGCGTTCACCTCTAGCGCCCTCCTGGTTGTAAAAATCAAAAGCAAGCTGAAACCCTCTAAGACTATGCTCCAGAAAAGTTCCAGGAGAACAATAATGATCACAGATCCCCTGCGTACAAGAAAAGTGCTCAGAAAAAAGATAAAGTGCAACCTACGGACCACGATCCCTGTCACGCCCTGCTCTGTAGACAAGGCAAGAGGCTACTTTTTCTGGTAGAAAAGGGGAAAAAAACCCCAGTAACTTGGGAACGGAAGGCTGGAGGGTGAGGGTAATCAGTCCTCTGCAAATAAAAGAGATGCAGAAAGACCAGAGAAACTGAGAGCAACAGCCAGGTAAAGAGGCTCAGCATCCTTGAGGAAAGCTCCGGGGATGCAGCCTTTGTGCCGCAAAGGAAAAAGCTTAAAGGCAAGTTTTGCATTAACAAGGTTGAAAAGGGACCAGGCAGCAAAACCCCCTTTGGTTACTGCGTTCCTCCATGCTTGGACAATTTTTGCACCGTCTTTATAAATAAATAAGTCCATAAAGAAAACCCATCCCAATGCCGCTGGTGATTTCTTCACAGGTAAAACAACTTTTTTGCTGAATGTTGTAACCACGGGCTTCAGTAAAGGCTGAGTCCAGCGTGTCCCTCCCCTCAAACACCGAGCAGTTAGTTAGTAAACTGCAAAAGGGTTTATTTTGGGCTCCAACAAGCCAGCAGCAGCCTTAATCCTTCACACACTTTAGTCTGGCTTTAATCAGTGGCTCTTAGAAATCTGTATATTCAGAGTAGGAGCATTTAATTGCGTTTTTATTGCAAAAAGAAAACCCTAACGCTACCACTTGCTTGAAGATTTGATTTGACACGATTCAAGCAGACCTTGCAAATTGAATACTCTTGAATTTTGGATGGTTGAGGACCAGTCAACGCCGATCAATTTCTAAATGACTTTAGAGTGGAAAGCACAGCTTGAAAAAACCTCGGGAGAAGCGTCCATCCCAGCAGCTTTTAGCCACCGGCAGGTTTACAGTCAACACTGAATATAAAGAAAAGGCGTGATTTCTTACCGACAGCGGGGAATGGCACAAATCTCTGGATCAGGAGACGAGTGGCGGGGGTAAACTTGTTTGCTCTCTGAACCAGAACATTAAGGCCCACCTTGGAAGAGAAACAAACAAACAAAAAAAACAAAACAGAGAAGCAGAAACATTTAGCTACGAGGAACAGGATGGATGCTACAGCTCGCAGACAGTGGCAGAGCTCTTCAGAGTGACAGACTGGGGTCCCTCCCCATGCAGAAGCATTTGAGAACGAAGCCCTCCCTCCCACTGCAGGGTTTAGCTGTGTTGGGTGCAACCCTTTATTCAACAAAAGGTTGAAGCCAACTGTTGGGTTTAAACGAAGAGCTGAACCCAATGGTTGGATTTAAACGAAGGGCTGAACTCAAATGTTGAGTTGAAACCAGCCGTTGGGTTCACATGAAGGGCTGAATCCAACCATTGAGTTGAACCCAATAATTGGATTCAAATGAAGGACTGAATCCAATTGCCGGGTTGAACCCAACCATTGGATTTAAATGAAGACCTGAACCCAACTGCTGGGTTGAACTCAACCATTGGATTTAAATGAAGAGCTGAACCCAACTGTTGGGTTGAACCCAACCATTGGATTTAAATGAAGAGCTGAACTCAACTGTTGGGTTGAACCCAACCATTGGATTTAAATGAAGGGCTGAACTCAACTGTTGGGTTGAACTCAACCATTGGATTTAAATAAAGAGCTGAACCCAACTGTTGCGTTGAACACAACCATTTGGTTTAAACCCTTTCCAGCTAAAAGACACGCCAGAAACCACCTCAGTGCTGTTCAGTCCTCTGGAAATGCTCCTACCTGCACTTTTACGCAGTTCACCAACATTTTCCCCATCCAGACCAAAATTTTTAGGGCTGGGAGGCCTCACCCAGTTAGGAAAAAGCCAAATATCAGTGGTGGATTCCTCCTGCCAGGGTCTGTGCAAACTACACCACCCCACACCAATGCAAACATTTGGGCTATAAAGGAGCTATTAAAGGAAACAAGAGCTAGCAGGAATTTTTTTATAGGCACGGATGATTTTTGTGTTGCCTCCTCCAGCACTTGAATAATGCAGAGCTCTCCACAGTTTTGCAGGGATCTAAGTCATTGCGTATGTTAATATAAACAGCACAGAGGAGAGGCGCTGCCTCATCAGCCTCGGCGTGGTTGGATAGTAGTGGAAATCGGAAAATTTTGATCAAAATTGGTTTCAAATAGAACTGGGGTTATTAGTTAAGGATACTGATTCGGGTGCAATGACTTCTGTCTTCAAATTACTCTCCCTCACTGTTATTTTCTCCTTTCCATCCAAAAAGAAATCCCGCCCAAATGCACAAACAAAACCCAACAACAGCCCCAAACTGGGCATTTTAGGCTGAAAAGCCTTTAGCAACGTCCAGCCAAAAAGTTTCCAGCCAAAAATGCAGCAAAATTTAAAAAATCAAAAATCAAAAGCAGCCAAAGCCAAAAACCTGCCAGTAAACAGTGATTTGGGGGGGTTAAAATAAAAAATAAAAGCTCAGGAGAACGTATTTTGCAAGCTGCTACATTATACATGCATCCGCAGCGCATCTTGTCTCTTTGGAGGCTGAGAGGAAGATGTTGAGAAGCACAACTGCTGGGCAAGCCCCGCACGAGCAGGGTGCTGGTTTTCAAAACTTGGGGAGTGTTTCCAGAGATTTCACCGGGACCCAAAAGAGAAACTGCTCCTCCTCTCCTCAGCCACTGTGGCTCTAGAGATGAGCCCCAGGGAGTCACGGCGGTTCTTCTTAGTCTGGGTAAGAATGAGGGGTTCATCTTAATCTTCTTCCCCCTCAGAAATGACTGAAATATTTTATTTATTTTTTAACATTTTCCAAGTTCTCGAATGCATGTCTGCAAAAATCTGAAGGCTTCCAGATCCTGCAAAGCAGCCTAAAACTCGGTGGCTTTAAGAGTAAAGCTAATACGGTCTCAAGTGTGGCTTTGCTGGTGCTACTCCACAGAATTGGGAATTTCTAGCTTGGATGCAGCTCATCATTGGTTTTCTGGCCTCTTCTTGTAGGTTTGAAGGAAGGACTTAACTGTGAAGTGGAAGAGCAGCAGCTTTTGAAAGAGAAAAGATGCAGCCAAGCCTTGGGAGAGCCACCGCTCTGAGGCTAGTGGCAAGAAAAGCATTTTACTTTCAGATTCAATTTGGTGTTGCAGACGAACTCGCTCCTCCACTTACAGCAACCACCCCGCTGTGCATATGAAATTAAATGTTGCTATAGATTTAAATCCAGTCTCCCAAATTCCCAACACGAGGATTAGATTTAGGCAGCTAATGAGGGGTTGTTTTTTACAGTTTCGAAATTGCTTTGGCCAACCTGTGAACCCTTTCCCGCGG